TCAGGTAAAGGACTTGAATCCTCTATTTTAATCTTCATCAATTGGTGGGGTTTTTTCTTTTTCTATTTAAGATTTCAATTTACGCCTCTCACAATTACTATGCACAAATCGAAATCACATATTAGATCTTCTTTTTCTTCATTTTGGTTTTGATTAGTTTCTTGAGTAACATTGGATTTCATTTCATTTTGCAGGAATAAATATGAGGATCAAGTCAGGCTTGATTTTATAGATATGTTTTATCCATCTCTTCCTAATTCTTTCTATGCTTAATCTGGCATGACAAACGTTATGTTTTTCCTAAATCAATTTATGATTCCCTATATTATAAAAATAATAATATTTTATATTCAAAAGATGTTTGAAATTTAAAAATTATTATTACTATATTATAAAAATAATTATATTTTATATTCAAAAAGTGATTTTACATAAATAACTATAGTTGTTACGAAGTATATGGTTTTCAATTTTTAATATTGAGATTTTTTATATAATTTACAAATAATATGACAATAATATATATGATTTAACTTAAAATACCATTTAATTCTTGAACTAACATATTGATATATAAATTGAATGAAATGATATGAACAAAGAAGTTGACCAACATATCCATGCCCAAACAAGTATGAAACCATCTCACTATCTCTTACTGAATCTCAATTATTTCTTCTAGTTTGTAAAAAGGCCATGATATAATAAAATATAAATGACAGGGACTATCATGTACAATACTACAGATGAAAAAAATATATATATAATCATATACATTCTAAATAAATATAACAACACTAAAGTTCCAGAACAATGAAGATTGAAACGTAGGTATGAGCCTTGCATCAACTGCTAGATGATATCAAAAAACATTCATTAACTTTGTTATTTTTGAAAGAAATCAAATATATAAGTAGAAAAAAACTCAAATAAACAATAAAAAAACAAACAAACAACACTTGTAACATATTTACAAAATGCATGCATTTACATTTTTCTAAGGGTGATGCTAGTAAAAGATTTGTGCCAAAGGGAATAGGTTAAGTTCATAACTTCAGATAAGAACCTGTAGGAAGTTTCAATTTCCTTTGGTGGTATCTACACGAAGACAATAGTATGTAATTAATAGTTCAACAACATAAAAACCCAATTCAAAGATGATACGAAGTTTATGAAATAAATAACTTAAAAAATCAATTCACTGGTGTATAAGATGCTCAAAGCATTTTTATGTTTTCAGACTTATTTGATGATAGACTACATTAAATACCATTGTATCAACATTCCTTTCATCGACATTAAGTCCTTTTTTCATCATTAAGTGACATCTAGATTTATGATACCTTTTGAATTGAATGAACAATTAAATGACCATTTTACCTTAATATCAGGAAACTCATACTCTTCAGGAAAACCCTCATCATAAGGTAGAAAAATGCAAACTCACACTACTATATAGATTTCAACCTTCATTAATTGTTCATTTAAGGTAAAATTCTTTAATTAGTTGCAAATAGTGACATGTGTATGCTAATATTTCGATCTCAACATTAATATGGCAACTGGGTGCCTCTAAAATTGAAGATTTTCGTATATGCCCGTTTAGCCTAACATTAAACTTAGTGATTTCCTTATATCCACTTATGAGATTGTTCACTCTAAAAGCCATGCTATGTAATTTTGAACTCAAATGATCCCATGAAGCCTATCACGTTTAATAGTAAGCTTTATGAGTCCCAATAGCAACTAGGTGCCTTTAAACTTCTTGATATTTTGTCTATTTGCATGATCCTCCTCCAATCAACCAAAAGCTATTAACATTTTCGAGCTTTGTAAGTTTTTAAGTAATTTCAGTCTTTCCAATTTCCCCTCTGTGCAATATCCCAAATTAAAATTAATTTGCATATATTCCACCAAGATCTTCTATCCATCCAACACATATAACTATTTCAAAATTTTGTAAACTATAATTTCTAAGCATGGAACTTAAGTGGGTGTAGACATAGCGAAACCAAAGTTCACATGTTATGTCATAAAGTTTGAAAGATGATACACATGAACATAGAAATTAGAGAAACTAATAGTAGCATATTAAAAGGAAATTAAAAGAATAAACAAAACCTTAGTTTCTTACAATGCCAACATTTTATTGTCAGTCTAGTGTGATCATTGACTCTTAAGTATAATATGTGGTCATTTCATCATCATAATCCTGCAAAAATAGTAACCATTCAATAACAATCATACACTAAGTTTATTAAAATACTAATTTTTTGTCAACTGATAACCATGGAAGATTGTGTCATGTGAGGATGTAACAATTGAGAATTTCCCATCACTAGTTGGTACTAAAGATTAGCATCAATGATATAACTTTACATATTAAATGAAAATATGACCAGTTAGATGATAATAACAGGGTCAAAAATGAGTGAACAAAAAGTTATGTCACTTTTTATGATGGTTAGTGTATCCGGAAAACACATAACTGTATGATCCCAAGGATATAAGCATCGCAAAAATCTGACTTCGATTGGAGGAGTTATAATTTTATAAAGATATGAACCATGTGCATTATTAACGCTATTAATGTCAAAATAACACAAAAACATTGGCGAAGTTTTGGCTAATGTCACTAAAAGGAAAATCGTAGTAACCGTGAGATAAGGACTTTGAAAGGAAGAATGTCAAAATCAGAATTTGTATAAAGGAGGTACGTTTTTAGAAAAATATAAAAAAAAAAAATAAATAAATAAATAAATAAATAAATAAAAAGTGGTTAAAAATGAAAGTCAAAATTTGACAACATGACCTTAAGGAAAGATGTAGTACTAGTACAGAGCTACACAAATATATAGAGAGGATAAGAAACCAGATTTATATAAGGAAGATATGAATTTTTATAAAAAGAATTAGGGGTGGACGCCATGTGCGCGTCATTCCCGGTGCGCACATTGGACACCCAGATTCGTCGAAGATTAGGGAGATGTGGACTATCAGAAGTATGACACCTCGCAAGCTCTGGATGGAGCCACGAAGCAAGTGCACAGCAGGCATGAAGTGTGTCGCGCACACAAACATAATGATATGCACTGTACTTAGTATCACTTTTCCTCCTTCTTGGGTTCTATACTTAGTACCTAGAAGTTATGTTGGTCAAATATAGGGATATGCAGTGTACTTAGTTGTCACTTTGCCCAAATATCCTATTTTCAAATAACCAAAATTAGGGTATAGATATGAATACTTATATATACAAAATAATTATGAGATCAAAGGTTAAAATTATCAAATATAAGATAAAAGATTTATATTGTGATAGTTATAAGAAATCCTAGGAAGGATTGAGATAAAAGATAAAAGATAATATATAAATACCTATTGTTAATGCGTTAGTGGGCATTTAATTCATCCAAAGTTCTTGATTAAATTCGGCATTCCCCAGATTCTTATGATCGTTAATCTTGCAAGAGCTAGAAAGATATGTATAGATCTATATGTTGGATTAGCCAAAACCCATCACTATACAGGGTCTGACAACCCTACTTGCGATTGCTAGCTAAAATCCCGGTAGGATGACTTTCTTATTATTCACTATTCGACGTCCGATGAAGCGTCGTGGCGAGGAACAATTATTAGTTAAACATCGTCGATTATGAGGGCTCAGGATAATACATTAGATCACTATAGACTATGACTACCATTAGAGACATCTTAGGATGGTAGATAAAATATGTTAGGATCGTTAGATATCCTACAAAGATAGTAAATTAGGATTAATAACTATATTCTAAGAACATATGAAGATAGGATCATTAGATATCCTAGAAGTTGACAAGATAGGACCGTTAGATATCATGAAATATAATAATATAGGGTCATTAGATATCCCAGATATAATAAGAAATGATCGTTAGATATCCGATAAAGATATTAGATTAGGATTGATAAATATATCCTAAAAAGATAATAAGATAAGATCGTTAGATATCCTAAAAGATAGTAAAGCTAAGGTTGATAAAATACTTTAGGAAAGACTTTTCTGAAAGAAAAAGGGATTCTTAAACTATACAACCAAATAAAATCCAAAAACTATAAAAACATGTGCACTCGCCAACATTATGTTGATGTTTTCAAAAATCGCATGTGTTCCTAGGAAAGATTAAGATACCAAGTCAAAAAAAGATTATCGACATGAAGACTTCTAGATTTTGATTAATAAAGTTAAATGATTGGCGCTCTGTGATTTGGAAATCTTTATACTGTCACCACTCGGCATCTTCTGCCTTCGGGCGGGGAGGGTGTGACAGATTGGTATCAGAGCTAGTTGATATAGCGAATTACTGTTTCATGGGAATTACAACTATAGCTTAGGACATATACTTCGATTAGGTTTGTCCTCAAACCTATAATTAAGAGTATTACTATTAATTAATCAATAAATAGACTACGTATTGGATATGTGCCTTGGCTGGAACTGTCGACTTGGGTTGCTGGATTTCAGAACAACTATACACCAAAATGGTCCTGCCCACCGTCTTTTCCTACCTGGTTGAACCATACATATTTTATAAGTACAAACCAATAATAATCACCAATCTTGAATAGTATTTTACAACTCATACATAATACAAATATCCATGATAGTTCAGTATGTAGAAGTTGAATCATTCCTAAACGTGGCCTGATCAAATACATTTAGACTTGACTGAACCAATACATCGACTGAATTGGGATAGATAAATATAAAATAGAAACCATGAACACAAAATACAAACAGTATACATAAAATGTAACAAAATACATCATCAGTATTAAAAATACAAAGCATCAAATCCAAAAAAAAAAAAAACTCAACCTACTCATCGCTACTCTCGTACTCAGCCTCCTCGTTCTCTATATACTCGTCATCAGTATCTTTTGGATTAGTGTTTAAAGGACAGGCACCATCATGATCGGTGCCTTTTAGCTGAGAAGGGAGTGGAACATAAAGGCCCGCCTTAGGAAAAGGTTGATGGTCCAACCCCAGATGTCATACCACCAAAGAGACTGAATCCATAATCCAGTAATGCTCCTCCTATGCAGCAACGTAGAGTCATCTTTGGTTGACTAGGCTCAACATAGCTAGGCCTTTGATGCCTCATGAAGGCAAGCATAACAATGTCCTCCAGCTTCACCTTCTGAATCGGCTCCACGATATCATCCTCTGAATCCTCAACGACTCCCCGACCTCCCTAATCAACACCCATATCTTACCGAGAGTGGTAGTACTCAGCTCCCAGAGTAGGAATACGAACCATCCTACTAGTTTCAACCTCATAGGATAAGGCCAACCAAGTAAACCAATGACCCCCGCAGATCCTGCTTGAAGGTGTACACCCTAGAGCCATGCTAGATAAGTAGAGAGCAATAGCAAAAGGAAGATGAAGGCAAACATGCATCTGAGTGAGGCACTACATATAGAAAAGGTTGTCTAAGGGAACCTTGTCACACTCCTATTTGTGAAAAATGGTAGGATCGACCAATCAGTGAATGAACTGATAGATAAGAAAACGGAAGGAGCTATCCTTGGTCATCTTGAAGACATAAGATCCCCAAGCATGGGCCTATACCTGCATGTAGTTGTACTCTTGTGGTGGTGCAGTAATACATCTATTAAGATAAGCATAAAAATCAAGGCTCAGATTCTCCTGAGTAGTGTAAATCCCTAGACGCCTCCCCAGCTCGATGAGGCTATAGGAGCGAATACGCCTCTCAGGAGAAAAGCAAGAGCTAATGGATCAGCCCATCACAAAAACTCCTTGTCGAAGCGGACCTTTGAAAATAACTCCTAGCAAAACTCCTTGTAGATTGCCACTCAAAACCAATAACCCATTGCCACCGGTGACAAATGAAAATCTCAATATCTCTGTCGTCCCACAAGACGCGGGTAAGAAATGGCACCAGTCGAGTCATCAGCCTAGTATTGTCCGCCACCCTATAGGAAAGAGCCTAAGGAATACTGATCTTCATGGACAGAAGAACAGTAAGGTGAGAAATGAAAGAGCTCTGATCAGGAAAATCCTCGAGGAACTCAAGAAAAAGATGTGAGGCCAGTTCAGAGGTAACTGACCTGTAGCTTGTCAACCTTGTCTAACCATACCTGTAGGAAAATAGGCAAAAAAGTAGTTAAGAAAAATTGGAAGAGATAAAAATGCATTAGGTGTTGAACTGTACCAGACGCACCAGGTGCACACTACGTGCGAGTGCACGCAATTCACATGTGTATGTGCGGCACGCCTGAAAAACGTGAAGAACAACAGGCATGGCAACCTATTGTTCCATCTAATTCTCAACCTAAAAAAGATGTAGGGGAGTTTGGGTAGTCCTCTAGAACACATGTAAGTATCTCATTTCATCCAAAACAACACAAAATTTCGAATTTAGTTAAAAGTTTTTTGAAAATCTAAAAATTCAAAATGAGAATCAATAGATGAATTAAACCCAAAATTGAGTATATAGGTAGTAAAATTGGTAGTATAAGATGCTTTAGGGATCATCTATTTCACAAAAACATGAAATCACCAATTCATAAAAACCTCCTAAAACCCTAAAAACTTGAAATTTAGCCCAAATTTTATGTTAAGGATCTGTAGAGGGATTACGTGAGAGTACAATGATCGAACGGAATTAAGAAATCGAAGAATGTAGGTAGGAGCAAGTGTGCAACGTGCATCGGACCCACTCGAAGACAAACCAAAAAGGGACATAAGGAATGTTTGGGGAAAGGTTCTAATGAAATCCAAATTCAACTTTAATACATATCTGCCAGGGAAGCAACAGTAGCATGATATAATCAGTAAATTATATAGGTTGCTAAGGGAATCAACAGTAACATGCTATAATCAGTAAATTATATAGGTTGCTAGGGAAGCAACAGTGGCATGCTAAATTAGTAAATTATATAGTTTTCTAGGAAAGCAACCATAACATTGCAATCATCAGTAAATTTGTCACACCCCCAAACCGGAACGACAGAAACGTTTGAGGGCGGAGGATGTCATGTGTAGTATCACAACAATTGAATAATAGTAATCAAAACAACCACAACCATTGTATTGATAATATAGCATTTACATTGTATTTGAATTCACATATGATTGACTCCAAAATTATATAGCAAATAAAGACCCAAAGCTACTATGCTTCGTCTTCTATAACCCTGTGCAAGTACCTGTCTACCAGTGTCCTGAGAATACAAGTGGTTTTGAAAGCGTCAACATTAAAGTTGGTGAGTTCATAAGCATTTTGTTTTTGAAAACATGTTCTTTGTTCTTTGTAAAACATGATATTTTCTCCAAAAAATCCTATATTTCCTGATGTAATGAATGATAGGTAGAATGACTCGTAATAGTTCCTTCTATGAGTGCTTAGTGTATACAAGTCACACACAATCCAGATCGAACATACAATCGATTGTGTGGTTCTGCCCCGAGCCCACAACCAAACAAGGAACAGGAAAATACGCGGAAGCCGCACATCCTACTGTCTGTCGGATCCTCATGTATATAACCCTGGCATATTCACTAAGTACTTATAGAGTTAACCTTAGTAGTCCTTTAGAATGTAATGAATGTGTTCCTTAAGAAAATCCTATATTTTCTTTGTAAGAATATGACAATACAAGTTCCTTCTATGACCACTTAGTTTATACTAGCTATATATAAACCAAGATCGAACGGACAGTTGATTGTGTGGATCTTCCCTAAGCCCACAACCAAACAAGGAACAGGAAATGAGGCGGAAACCACACATTCCACTACCTATCAGATATTCTTCATACATAACCTTGATGTATAAACTAAGGAACTATAGAATTAACAATGATTGTTCGTTAGTTAAATGGTAAACTGTTTGCTTGTAAAATATTGATCTTTATCATGGAAAATCCCATATTTTCCATAAAAGTGAGTTGTTGTCTCTAGTACTCCAAACTGAAAAGTACAAGTATTTTCCCATACTTAATTTGTTAAAGTGTAGCTTTATTAGTAAACTAGCCAAAAACGTGTTTGTTCTGTAAACTGAGAGTGATGTTAATACCCTCCTATGATCGATTAGTATGTATGAGTTATAGAAGAATAGATCGAAATCAGTCGATTGGGTGATTCCGCCCTAATCCCACAACCAAACAAGGAACAGGAAATGAGGCGGAAGTCACACATCCCACTGCATGTCGGATATTAGTTTCATATTACCCTTGTGTATATACTATTTGTTAAGTATATTATTACGTGAATGAGTTGTTGTTTTATCCATGTGAGTTCTTATAACCATACTGATGGACGTTCAACCCTATGACGTACTTTGGAAGTCGTAAATGTTAATGACGTTTGTTACCCAGAACGACTGTAGCTAATAGCTAGGGCGGCGGGATTGTTAGTCTCGTATAGATCTATACACAAACTCATGCTCTCCCTCCAGGAGACTCTGGTTCCTAAGGATAGACTTCCTTGGTACTTAGATAAGTACTCGAAGACGTGTCTCACAAATTGGTTCCCTCAACGAATTCACGAATAATACAATGAAAACTCCTTTTTTTAATGACATGTAAGTTTGTAAAAATAGTTCATTCATGCCATAAACTATACTTAAATTAGTTTATGAGTATGTTTCCATGTTAAAATCTATGCTTGTAAATAATTGAGTCTTAACGTGTTTTGTAATTTGTTCGTAAGTCTAGTAGTCACAATGTTTACCGTGTTTAGTAAGTTTCATGTTCAAATGCATGCGAACGGTAGGAAAATATAATAAAATAAATTATATTTTTAAACACAAGATTACTTGTGTTTTACTTGTACTCTCCCCCCTAAAAACAATGAAAAAGCTTGGAAATTTTGTGGGTTGTATACAAAAGAACATTTTATGTGCTCATGCAAACCCTAAAGCTTGGATTTAGGTTTCTCTATTATACATGAAATTCATCCAAGACTTATGAACGCTAGATCTAGCATACATATTTTGAAATTATCATATAAGATCAGATCTATATGATTACCTCTTCAAGAATGGCTTGAATCTTCTTGTCTTGGAGCTTAGAGTCACAAATGTCACTCCTCTAATGGCTTACAAATAGCAGAAGCAAGAGAATGACTTATGAGAGGAGAAGAGGGAACCAAAAACGTCCAAGAACCCTTAGGGATTACTTCCCACGTTTTTGGGGCCTTAGGGGTTCATTATATAGTGAGGCTATTAGGGTTTTCAACTAGGAAATCCTAATCTGACTGCTTAGGCCCTAAGCAGCCCATGGACTTCCTCCTTAGAAGCCTTGGATGAATTCTAATGGGTTTCCCCATAGATTTCATCCACTCTAACTTGTATGGAGTCCATTAGCCCAATATTCAACTATCACACAATTGACAGTTCTAGTCCGCTTTATCTAATTAAGGTCTTTTAGCCACGAAATTAATTCCTGTCTAATTAAACAATATGATTTCTCCTTTAATATATTATTAATATAATATATTAATAATCCATAATAACCTCTCTATCTTCATAAATCATCTTATCAAGTTGATTTGGTGAAAAGGCAACCCAAAAGTACCATGCACAACCGGGTCAAGTACATACCAAATATAGTTACGTGCTTAGAAACTAATCCAACAGTCTCCCACTTGAATAAGTCTAGTAACTATAATGCAAGTACAATCTGGCTCTCAAAGACGCTGTCGAACTCTGATCTTATCAGTAACCTATCCTTTAGATAAGGGATCATATATTCCTCCATTCTAGATATCGTATAGATCGAGACATGGATTATAATCATTCTCTCTGTCTATATGTTGTTTCTCGATTTCTAACTTATGACGACTAACAACATACTACAAATGAACACATCAACTTAGTCCCGGAATGGCCAAGCACTTAGAATGTTATCACTAAATCATCGAGGGGCCCACTGATATCACTTTTATCCCACTTTAAAAGGAGCAGATAAACTTTGATTCCAATGCTCGCTTGTACCTACTCATCAAATCACACACAAACATATATTTTATAACACCAAGTTACTGGTGCGTTTACATACTTTCAATGTTTAAGCAACTTGCAGAATACAACTCACACATGTCGATTTCAAGAACATAAGATATTATCATCTCACCGATCACTTGTGATAAAATCCATGAAACGATCCAAATGAGTGTGGGTTTAATCCAATGCTCTAATCAAGCAACACTCATGTGATGGGTTTTGAGCATTCTAACACTCCTATGGTGTACATGCAACCCTAGAAAGCTTGGATCTATGTTTAACTATAATACATGCAAAATTTTGATTTTACAAGGTTCATATCCTATCTAGCATACATGAGGAACTATTAACATGAAAGCTAGTAAGAAATACATACATTTTGTTGCTGGAATTCCTTTGAGAACCATGTGAGCCTTACACCCCAAATGTGATG